AAGCAAACAGGAAAGTTGCTCAGAACTGCAACCAGAGAAGCTACACTACGGCTTTTGAAAAGTGACTGAAGACAAGACGCCAGGTCAGGACCAATAACATTGCAGATTATTCTTTGAATTTTACCAAGAATCTATAAACATATAGCACCAGAACAAAAAATGGAGGCAATATTCAAAGCATATTCGAAATAATACAGGCTGCGGTAGAAATACTTCCATATATCTGCCTCTCAGAAATAGCTCTTACATCATAATAAGTCATTTGCTATACGAAGATAACATTTTCCGTAATTTCTTACCATTATGTGGGAAATATATCTAGTAGGTATATATTTCTACTGCAAGAATATTGATAATTATTAATATCGGATATGAAATACTAAATTACGAAAGGCAGTACGAACCTACCAAATGTCAAAAAAACCCATCTGCCATTGTATATAAATGGGCTACAAAAAAGAAAGTTACTACTACTTGTGTTACTTTTTTGCTAGCCCGATGCGTACACAGATATCGGTGTCGCATTTTCCATCTTCTGTTAAAACTATTCCGACATATTTAAATCCGCATCTCATGATGTTTATATCCCCAAATTGTATCTCGTATAAAGGGTTTTTTTTTCTCACTTCTTGTCTTTTTCTCTTTCTGTCTTCTTGCAGTTTATGGTTAGTCCTTTTTCCTCACAAGGACAAAATACAAGCCAATCAATAGATGGTACTTAGTCGAAACGTTATGTTTGTAATAACACCTATAATAACATCTATAATAACACCTGTAATAACATTTATAATAGCATCTATACCAACCATGACGAGAACAACGGTGTAAAATAATACATGAAAAAAAAGATTTTATTTTGAAAAAAAAAAAAATGAAAAGGCCAATATTAAAAACCCTTCTTGTTGATAACCGTATGTATCCATAAAGATGCTACTGAAAGGTTAGGTATTATTTACAGAGCTAACTACATACAACTATATTCCGGCTTATTATTTTTTTAATTAAACAAACCTAAAAGGTGTATCTCAAAATCTGAATAGAAGGGAAAATCACTCCATTACTTCTACGGGATATTGTCGCATCCTCTAAATCATGTGTCTCCAAATTTTTTTCAAAGAGGGCCAGATTTGATGAGGTGAATATGCACGAGAGCCAAACATTCTGCTTGGCATTCTTTGAAACATTAAAATTAAATGTAAATGAAGTATCTTGTGAAAATTTTATTGCAAATGTCATATTTTCATTTCTTCATATGGATGGCAATTTAAACAGGTCTTACTTGTATGACTCAGCCTGTCATATCGGAAACCCATATAAGATGAAGTAAAATATGTCTGAGAAAATAGAACTTCCCTTGAAGCTATAATATATCCGAGGTTAATCTTAAACATTATATATTACTGGTAATTAATGTTGTCTGCCATCTTTTAAGATAAAAGCATATAAATAGAAACATAACACCAATATTCATCATAATAAGCATCAGAAGACATATTTATAACTGATTTGACCAAGACAAAACAAATTTAATTCACTAAGATTTTAGAATTTATTCATCTCAGTTGACCCCCCCCCAAAAAAAAACCCAAAAAAACAAAAACTTGCCTGCATTAATATCAAGGGTGATACTGAAATCTGGATTGCAGTATGTAGACCAGGTTTGGTTCAAAGGCCGAGGTCTGGTTCAAAAGAAGTGATTTTAGAAATTGGCTGGAAAAGGCTATGGTAAGGGTCACACCACCAGACAATACTGCTGTCATCTTTTGGTAAAACATGAAATTTTATTTCTTAGGTGTGTAATTTAAATACGCTGATTGAAAATAATCGCGGGCTGTAAGAGATAAGGAACATATGAAATTTGACCACGGGCCGTAATTCCCCCCCCCCGGGTTCAACATTGGACATGCCTGCTATAAACAAATAAAAAAGATTGTACAGTCCTACATCTTTAATCCCGAACCCTTGCTATTAGGCGACTGCTGGATAGAAGAAATCCACCCCCTATAAGAACATTTCAGTAAACATAGTTTGCTAGTTCATTCCACATATATACAGTAGCCTAAGAAAAGTTTTTAGCCAGGAGAAAATAAACTATATCCAATTTCAAAATTTAATTACGTAATTCCTACACAACGTAAATAAACAGTATTTGGAACTAGTATAGAGTAGGTCCTCCATTTGATATTTTCAGTGCTTGTATACGATTTTTCATGAATTAGCAATGACGTGATTTTGATTGCACGCTCTCGAGGTCTTCGGTCAAGTTGCTCCTATTGGATTCATGTCAGGACTTTGATCTACCCATCGCAATGACTTGATACCTTGCGATTCCTTCCAGGCCTTTGCTACTTTGCTCGTATGACATGGGGCTCCATCTTCATGAAAAAGGTAGACATTCTTGTCAATTTGATTGGTTTCAAATACTGGGAGTAGTCATTTCTCTAATATTTGACAGTATTTTGGACCATTCAACCACTCGTCGACAAGAATCAGCTCAGATTTCTCTCCAAACCAGACAGCGCCGCATACCATTACTCCAATCCCTCCATGTTTCACGGACTCCTATAGACATTCAGTGTTCCAAATCTCATTCTGAATTCGCCAAATAAACATAAACCAATCTCGAATTAGAATATTGGCAGAATTTACTTTCATCTGACCAAATTACAGACTGCCAAAATTCATAATCTTTGCTCTCGAATTCTCTCGTCCACTCCATACGCCTCTTCCTGTTAAGCTCTGAAATCAAAGGCTTCTTTCTCGCAACTCTTCTTTGATAGCCTAGCTCTTTCAGAGTCTGTCTAATCGCATATGGCGACTTTGACCCTCTGACGACGATTTCTGATGACTTCTCTATTCAGTGCCCTTTTCGTTTGCTCAGACACGATACTTGGTCTTCCTAAACGTTGTTCCGTACGACAATAACATTCTACATTAAATTTCTTGACAATATTATTAGCCGTTTGATGATTAATCTGGGAAAAATTAGAAATTTCTCTATTTTACTTGCCACACTGATGCCATCCTATTATTTGGCCTTGTTGAAATCCACTAATTTCCTTACTTCCACGAACTTTCATTGCAAGACATAAGTCAACTATTGTTCCTCAGAACTGCAAAGAAGTGATGAGAGTCGCTTGATAATAAGACGGTATTGTCTAAAAAAAAGAAGAGACGTTATTAAACAAGCCAAAATTTTTGTAATTAATGGTGGCTAAAAAGTTATCATAGGTCACTCTTTTGACCATACGTTGTTCCTAATAGATCGAAGATTATGTTACCTATTTGTAATCGTGGTGGTGAGATTAGCTTGTAGCTTGATACTTATATGCTTGGGGAAAAGTTAGTCACCATTTTATTTTGTATATTAATTTTTTACTGGTTCCTGGAACATTTGTACCGCAAAAATATCGGCGGACTCATAGTGAGTCCAGGTAAAAAAAATAAGTAACACAAAGCATGGATCATAAAACAAAAGACAAAACCTTACCTGTGTAGACAATTGTAACGAAATGGTAAAAAATTAAATAATTAGTTAAAAGAATGCGCTTGTTTGCGTGCGTGCGTGTGTGTGCATGTATATAACAAGCATGTGTGATGGACACGTGTGTGTATATGCATGTGTGAAGGACACCTGTGCGTATATGCGTGTGGGACAGACAGTTGTGTGTATATGCTTGTGTGAGAGAGTTCAAAAGTCAAAAGAGGACCAAAGAAGCGAACGTGCCATGTCGGCAGCGTTTCTATCTATATGCGACTACATCATCTGAAAATTAGGACTAAAAAGACTAAAATAAGAGAGAGCATCTTGCCAGTTCATTCCACATATATTTTTGCTGTGTTGTCAAAGGTAGAACGAAGCTTAAAACATGAAATAAAACGATTATTAATGCCTCCAAACAAGGTTTTCATGCAATACAAAGGTTAGAAATGCCTAAAAAATATAATATATATACTTATTATACTGTAGAATGCCTCTACCTGTTGCTCAAATAGAATATAAGAGTGTATGTAATGTGTAATAATTAATGTTTCCAAACAACATTTTCATTATTTACCCTATTTAAATCTTTCGGGCTGTTGTCCTCATATTTATTGCCATATTCACGACCTTTCGGCAGTTGTACGCTCCTGTCTTCTTCAGATGATATACTTTGGAATTTCCAACTGAACCCTTTATTTAGTCCAGGAGAGTAGATTTTTCCAATTCCATATAGTCCCGTGGATAAAGGTATTGGTTGAGTGATCCAAAAAAAGTGACTTGACTCAAAGAGTTGCAGAAAATTTGCAGAGTTGATTTACTAAAGGGAATTAACTGAAACTGTTATATTCAAAGAAAAGGCAGGGCACGTGGAATTTGAACAATCTACCTCCCTGTACTACGGAATAAAGGGTTCGGTTCGAGATTGCAAAGTATATTTCATCAAAAGAAGGCCGGAGCGTGCAACTCCCGAAAAGTAGTGAATATTGCAATGAAGATGAGGACGCTGATTCGATTTATGTAAATAGTGTAAATATTTATATTACCTCATCTCTGAAATATAGACGGATATTGAATGTTTTTATTATTTCCTGCAATATAAAACTGCAATCTTAAAAATAAAACCGCACTGTAGTGCATGTAGTCAGCCTAGGCCTATGGCGTAAGAGAGTTATTGGCTCACTGGGTGCCGGATTAAATTGGTCAGACTGTATTAATCGATTGACTGATTCGTTTTCTACGGTTTATCACCCTTTGCAAGTTATTTAAAAACCAGAAGAAATTTTTAGAATGTAAGAAAAAATATTGCGGGGGGGGGTCATAATAATTTTTTGGGAGGAGAGATAATAATACAAGTAGTACTAATTAACCCATAGATGGATGAGAAGAGGTGGTTTCATATAATGTACAAGGGTATATTCGTGTAAGCAAATATAACGAACGCAACTGGAACTCGGCTCCACAATGAACAATTCAGAATTATTATCCATTAAACTACCCGTACATCTAAGCTTATATGACCTGGTATTCCCAAGCGGTCACCAAACTAGGTACTGACCAGCCGCCACATTGCTTAACTTCGGTGATCGTACGGGAAACGGTGTTAGGTGGGTCTGTAATTCTTATCAGTATTGTGACGATAACCTGAATTTTCTTTTGACTATTTAAAAGGTTTGATTTATCCTGAACATATAAATTATAACTTGGTAACCAAAGTAAATAACAGACAAGGAAATTAAATTACAAAATCTCCTACAGAAGGTAGCGACGGAGAGTGAGAAAAAATGACTAAGCATAGACTACAATAAGAACAGAATGCATGGTCATCAGAAAAAGGATGAGCCTGAAATGCTCTTTGCAGGTCGAGAATACTAGAATCAAGCAAAAGTTTAAATATCCGGTAAGCGTTTTGACAGAGAACGGTAAGTACGACACTGAGATCCGTAGACGTATAGGGATGGCCAAGGACGCATTCCAAAATCTGGGCAGAGTATTGCAACACAGGAGGATTTCTTTGGTTACAAAAAGAATACTCAACTGTTACGTGACATCTGTCCTTCTTTACGGCAGCGAATGTTGGACGATTTCCTCAGAGAAGAAGGAGAGTCTCGAGGCGTCATAGATGTAGTTCTACAGAAGGATGCTAAAGATATCATGAACCGAGCGTGTGAGCAGCGATGAGGTCTTAGAGAGGATGCAAACAAGGTGGAGGCTTATACTTTACATCATGAAGTAGACTGCTGAAGGTTTGGGAACATTTAATGATGAAAGAGGGCCTGGAAAATTTGATACTGAGGGGTCGAATATAGAGAAAGAGAGACAAGGGAAAACAACGCAGGACATACCTAGCGGGCTTGAGCAGATGGAAGACAGAACGTGGTCTGGGGAGGGGAGGAAGCAGAGGGAAGGAACTTGTTTAGAGATGCAAGGGATAGAGGGAGGTGGAGAGACATGATCACCTACGTCCTGAAAGCACATGATACATAAAAGGAAAAACATATTAAACAGATTAACGAAAAACATTGTTTGATGTTCAAACACTCCATGCTACTAACGTATGACTTAGTATCTTAGTGATAATATGTTAACTAGACTTAGTATTTTAATATGTTAATTAGACTTAGTATTTTAGTGATAATATGTTAATTAGATGTCATTATTTGCATAAATAATTTTGCGGCTCCTTTTTGAATGAAACTATTTCCTTTAACAAGAACTCATTTGTCTAATAAAATTGCAATAAGCAAGACGATATAATAAGGTAATTAAAAATAATGAATAGAATTCACTCTTTGTTATATTCATTTTTATGTGTCGTGGCCCTTCAGGACGTGAGCGGTCATAATTCCCAACAGCTTCCTTTCCTTTGTCGCTCAAAGCAATGTTTGTCCAGGAAACTTCCGTGCTATAAACTGTTCTTTAGATAGATTATTCGCAGTTTATCTCTACCACACTGGCTTCCTATGTGTTATGTGACATATTCTCCAAGACTTCTTTCCTCATTAGGGATCCCAGACATTTCTGCTTTCTCTTTCTGTTTCTGAGTATAAGTGTTCTTTTTCGCTTCCATATTTTTTCCGCTCCTGTTATTCTCAGCATCCTTCTGTAGAACCAAATTGGGTTGCCTCCAGTCTTCTATTCATCATTGAGGAAATTGTTTGGTTTGGTTTGATTTGGCTTGTTTTACGGCATATCAGCCTCAATGAGGTAATGCCGAATTTTTTTTTTTTATTGTTGTTAATATTTTTTTTAAACATGTATTGCTAGTAATATTTTTCCTTCAAAAAATCTGTTTCTGGTAATATTTTTTTTCAAAAAAACTATTGCTGGTAATATTTTCTTTGCCTAAAATATATTGCTGGTAATAATGCATTGCTGGTAATAAATTTTTTTCAAAAAAATTATTGCTGGTAATAACTTGTTTCCAAAGTATTTCTGGTATTTTTACACTTTCATAGTATTTTGACCCCAATTTTTAGGTTAACTATTTGCCCATAGCTGGTATCCTAACAGGTGCTACCACCCCGGGTCAGGGTGGATGTGGGAACACCAGCAATTAAGAGGTGATTCCACGCTCCTCAAAACCTCCTGATCAGAGGCCTTGCTGTTGGACGTAGTTTAACGTCTTTCCCAGGACGTAGTTTAACGTCTTTCCCAGGACGCGGATGTAGTTTATGGTCATACCTAGGTCGGGAGGAAATTGTTCAGCATTCCCTGTCATATAGGTGGACTGATATTACATCACAGTTCAGCAGTCTTTTGTTTGCCTTTAAGGAAGTCTTCCTGTCTCTTAAGAAATTATTTAACTCTTGGAAGGAAACGAGATGTGGTAACTTTAGTTTAGCTAGTTGGGGGGGGGCGGTGCTTGTGCTACGCGAAAGATACCAAGCACGTGTCGCAGACTAATTTGCCAATTACATGTTTTTGATTTGTCAAATACTCTTCTAATGTAACCTTATGCCACACTATGTTACGCAGCGGGACTAACTTATAAGTATGTATGTATCGATGAGGCACGGATGGGGTAATGGATAACGGCTCGGACTGAGGAATCGGAGAACCGAGTTCGAACTCCAGTAAAATCCATTACATTCACTTATGTGCTAATACCCCTGGGAATGATATGAATTCTCTTCTTCTCTCCCCAGCCTTGGATGGCAACTGGTCTACCGAAGAAAGAAATGGTAACGCAGTTTGGGGAAAAATCTGCCTCGTCAGTCATGTATCGAAAGATACATGATCGCCTAAGCGTGTATCACGCATGGTGCATAACTGACTGAGTGATGTATTGATGAATACACTCAGTTTAAAGTAGGGGTCGGCGACCTTTTGGAGCGAGCGAGCCAGACGGCTTTTGAGTGTCTCGGAGGAAGGTCATGATATCAAATGTACTATAATAAATTGCCCCGATTTCAGACTGCTCTGTGGGTTTCAAGAGCAAACAACAAAGTTAATGTTATATTATTTAAACAAGGTTCCTTATTACAGGAATAACAGGAAAATAACTGACACAATCAACAGAATATGAAAATTGCTTAATAAGGTTATTTTGGCGGGCCGGACAAATATCCTTTGAGAGACGATATTTGCCAAACTCCGGTTTAAAGCTTACAGGGTAGCTAGTATAGCGATGTGTTTAACAAGCGTGTCTAACGAACTAGTTCCCTGGCATAGTGGTTTTAATCTTCACTATATGCCTCAAGATTATTTCCTTGTACCAGCCTTAGGAAAACATTTGTGAATATTTACGACCTACCGTGGCATGATAATTAACAAGCTCTGTTCTTTTTTTTATTTTTTTTTGTTTTTTTTCTCAAACTAATTCGCTAGAGAAGAATTCATGTCTGTGACGTTTACATTCCCGCCAATAATCTTGGGAAATATATTCCTTTCCAGCAGGAAAGCGCTCCAAAACTATTTCAGGTTCAACCGATATTTTCCCTACACGTCCACATAAAATCCATATCGTACAATCTCTTTCGTTAAAATAATCACAATCAGTAACAATCTACCTTAAATGGCTCTTGCGTCTTTTATTACGCGGATTAACAGTAAAAAAAAAATTTTAAAAAAATCTCTCAGAAAGTTATGGTAATTCAGACATATTGAAGAAAAGGAATCTATTCAGAGCCATGACAACTTACGTGCTAAAGCGACGTGATATTAAAGAAGAAATTTGAAAAGTTGTGCTGGCAGCGTAACGGAAATGAGCAAAATTAGGAGCGAAATCCAATTTCCAGTTTAGTCTGTTTCATTCATTTGCGCACAAATACGATTGAGAAAAGCACGAATTCATTTCTTTTGTCCACCTTGCCATGCGTTAAATAGTAGGGTAGATTGGGCTGTCTAGTCTTAGCTGGCAACCTTTGTAAGAGAAGGAAAACACTCGATACAAAGCCGTAGAGAAAACCACGAAAAAAAAAAAACAAAACAAAAAACACCACTATCTTTTCCATGTATACATGGTACCTCACAATTAATAATAATAATATTTTATTTTTTTTTGTCAGTGGAAAGTGTCATGATGCCATTTCTAACCTTAGGTCCCAAAACTATGTAGCGAATCATTGTAGCTTACGTCCTGAATGGAAATGCGATAAAAAAAAAAGAAAAGAAAGAATTTAAGACTTGCTGGATGCTCTTTATTTTTGGCCTTGTGCCAAAGTGACCTCCTTTACTAAATAAAAATAAACAATGTCACACCTTGGAGCAATGCTTATGAAGCTATTCTCGTAGAAGAATTACCATTGTAATAAAGTAAACACTAAGAATATATACAATTTTCAACCTAGAAGATTTATCTTTAGGTTAATTAAATGCCAGAGCACCACACCGTGGAGCAATAAATATTAAACCAGTCAAGCAGTCTGGTCCTTTTCTAGAGAGTTCGATTCTGACGAAGCCTATTTGTTTGTTTGCCAGACTAGTATGAATTAATATCTCGGGCAATCCGACGATAGGCAACGGAAAATCTCGTCTCGCAAAACGCAGTGACTTCTGTACCACGTTTGATATTCATAGTTCACTAACACTTGTGGCCTTGTGCCTTACTATGAAATGATTAAGCAATGTCCGCATCAACATTTCAAACGACGAAATAACCAAGAAATTATGTATGAAGAAATCTGAAGCACTGAAATCGCTTCTTTTAGAATTGATATCGATTTGCTATCATAGTGTCGCGATAAATATAGACTTTGTTAGTAGCAGTGCCGAGTATTAGAAGGAAATAACTTACAGGAAGATTAGAGGGTAAAGGTGTAGAAAGTGTGGGAGAAAAAAAGAAGTGGGGATTCAGACGAACTTGTAGCGGTTGGAAGGATGACCAAAAAAAAAAAAAAAAAGTAAAAAAAAAAGAAACAAACCAGACTAAATAATAAAAGAAAACCGGACTAAAGTTTCTTTGCCATGTGCAGCTACAGGTCGATGCATGGGGAGAGGTCCGACGGACAATTCTCTCTTAGTGCTTTATTTCTTTTAAAACTAACCCCTTAGCCTGACCATGCAAGTTATTAATTCAGCTCGGCTAAAATCGGGCACCAGTAGAGAGACACTTAGTGAGAATCGCACCCATTATAGCAACACATTCTTGCAAGAGACGATAGG